ATTACATCGTAGCTGACGGAGTATGGATGTCCATGATGTTCCACAAATGCAAGCATACAGTGTTTGTGTGGAATAATCAACCTCATTTACATATGCATGAAGTCTGAAAAATTAAACAAAAATTAAGATTTGTTTTAAAAACAAAACAAAAAATTAATCAATGACAATCCTTCAGATGTACTATGTTGAAAGTGTTCTTAGACAGAATAAATAAAAGTATTTGTATTCTATTCACTTTCAATAAGATTTTACAAACACATTGATTTATAAAACTTTTAACAAAATCAAATTATGTTTTTGTGTATCAACACATTATGCAATGTATACAACTGTGCATTTCATTAATTAAAGTAAAATGATGTATATCATATTCATCTCCTATTACCTACAAAGGAGAAAGTACTAATTATCTTTATCTAGCAAAACTTGATAAAAGCTCTAAAAGACTATATAACTTAAACCTTGTATTTCTCCTTACAATCCATTCTGTACATAAGTCTAAATCTGGGATATAGATTATCCTGTTAAAGTGATATTTTACTCTTTTTAGCCATGTAAGTAAGTAAAAGTAAGTAATTGCATTTTATAGTCTAAGTTTCATGCTTACGCACGTTCACCGACTTTACAGCTATTACCCCTGGTGATCGGGCTACTGGTATCTATCAATCTCCCTGGGGAGTCTTTTAACTCCGCTTAGTGCAGCCGACACTTTTGTGCAACGGATTTATACCACCCTCGCAGGTACCCATTTACACCTGGGTGAAGTGAAGCAATCGCAGGTAAATTTCTTGCTCAAGGAAATTAGCAGTGCCCCTAGTGGGGTTCGAACCCGGGACCTCTCGATCCCTAAGCGCGCGTCCTACCACTGGACTACTGCACCTACATGTCATCAGTTCTTGCATATTTATCTTTGTCTTGATTTGCAATTGCTTGGTTCTCTCAAAGATTGAATAAGAGTGATGGCTTAAAGTAGGGTTTAAATCTAATAATCCCAAGGATTTCGTTTCATTTGTCACAAATGCATATTTATGCATGTTTGTACCATTATCTTCTTTATCAACAAACCAGTTGACTTAACACACTCATATGTTACTATGATTTAAGTTGTTTAAGTATGCTTATTTCCTAGGAAGTAAGTCGGTGAACTGTACCATTGTACATATTCTAGTGTTGAAGTTATGAATTCTTACTTTTCCTAATCTTGTTTTTAGCATACGTTTGTGTATTTGAAGACTTGCATTATAATTCTCAAAGAAATCAATGCCTAATATGCCAATTTTCTCTTCTATGTCAGCTACAACAAATACGAAAGAGAAAGAAATATGCTCTATTTCAAAGTTTAATACACATTTCCCGGCAGTTTGTAATTTTGCTCCATTAGCAGTAGACAAATGCATATTAGTAAAGACTAAATTGGGTTTATTTTGAAGCCTTTTATAACATGAACTTGACATTATAGAAACAGGACTTCCAGTATCAATTAACATTCCACCTTTAAGTGAGCCTAAATCTGCTTTAACATAATAACAAGAAGTTTTGTCAACATTTTTAATTTCTGAAATTAATTCACTTTTCTCAGAGTTTTGTCTGATTATGTTTTGCTCTGAATAGACCGACGTTTGACAATATTCAGTTTTAATACATAAGGGTCCACTTTCACTTTCGTTTATAGAACGAGATGCTTTATGACCCTTAACTTCCGGTTTGGAATGGACCACTTCTTGGCCCTCAATTTTACTAAGAGTTTCAAAAGAAATAAGTTTTTGATCATTTTTAACTTCATTTGGAGGGGGTGTAACTATAATTTCTGGAATACACTGTTTATAAGGTTTGTTTTTATAATTCAAAGTTGAACTATGTGTCATTTCAGGCAATGAAACTTTTGTAAGATTGTTATCTCCCTAAGATTGAGACGAATTACAAACAAGTGTACGAGGGTCACTAATATGTACATTTTGTAATTCTATAGGCCTAACCAATTGAGAACTGTCTGACGTTTTGGCCTCAACCTCAGTCTGACCTAGTTTCCCTGATTCAAAGCATTTCTTTTAGCATAACAACGGCTCTCAATGTGACCTTTTTTATGACAGTAAGTACACTGTATGTCTTTAAAGTTAGGTTTGTCATAAAAAGAATATTCCTGTGTCATATTTTGATGATTTCTAGACTGGGAGTTATAATTGGTGTTTGAAGTAGAACCATATTTATGATTTACACCTTGGTTGTGTGGGTACGCGTTATTATAGTTACGCATAGGGCTATTACTGCGTCTCATTGAAGGCCTATCAATACCAGTGTTTTGATAAAATCTTGAGGAATTATTTGGCCTATACTGAGTTCCATATGTTTTCTTGTCAGTCATTTTTTGAAATTTTTGCTCAAACTTTTGATCAAAAAGAGAAGACATCATTTGCTTTAATTCGTCGAAACTACAGTCAGTCTTTAAATTTGTAGGTCTAAGGGACGCAACTGATGATGACGAAATGACATTCAATGGACGAGTTAACTCCCTTTCATCATCTAATGGTCTTGTCATTTTATCTACCGAACCCTGTAATGACATAAATTCTACGGCAGCACTAATTGCGTGATCCAAAGTAATAGGATGCGTAAATTGTACGTGCTTTCTTAATTCAAAAGTACATAATCCATGAATATATTGGTCAATAATACATGTTTCTAAAGCATCACTATGCATTAAAGGAAATGCTTTTTGAGCTAATCTGCGTAGTGCATAACCATAGTCCGATTACGGAATTCACAGCGAAAGGCAACTTCACGTTCATGTGGACTAAATCTTTGCGTTAGCACACGTTTAATTTCCGAATAACTTGCAAGTTGAGAAGGGTGTAATGTAGACAGTAATTGCTGTGCTTCCCCCCGCAAATTAATTGTTAACATGCATGCTTTTTGTTGATCATCCCAACTATTCCAGTTGGCTACTTGCTCAAAATGAATAATATAATCGGACCATTCACTAGAAATACCATCGAAATGATCGGGACTTATATTCATAACCGAAGATGGCCGAGTATTTGTAATACCCGAGTACATAGTGTTCATCGGAGCACTATAAGTTCTACGCATAAATGCGTTTCCTCGAGATAAATTACTCGGAAAACCTACATTTTGCGAATAATGGTTCGATAAAGAATGAGGCACTGGTGTCTGGCATGCATTAACCATAACCGGTGACGTAACGCTACTAATGTTACGCTTTGCCACTAAAGAGGGTGAACTCTTCATATAGCTTTAATGTCTAACTGTCACATTAAGAACAGTATAATCAGTTTTTAAAGGGGAAAGCACTGGCTTTTTATCAAAATCAGTCCCTTTAACCCCCGGGATAGACGTATCTAAGTCATCACGAGCACTTCCTGTATACAAGGGTAAGCTATGACTATCACCAATACGTAATAATCACCCCGAACAGTAGGGGAGTGTGAACTAAATCTTACTTTCGGAGTACTTAACTCTTGTTTAAAAGTAGGGGAACAAAGAAATGAATCAGACCTATAAGAAGTATTATGAGAATTCCCCTATACCTAGGTGAAGAATGCGTGTTAACTTGTCCTTCCGTTTCATGAAAAGACCTTACATCAGGAGTACATGTAGGTGTGAAGTTAAAGTTCTCGTGCGTGACGTATTCTGTGCATCGAACCCCGTAGTATCTATTATACGGTACTGACCATATCTACTTTCAGAATTATATATCGGTAAATTTCCCTCAGCCATACTTAAATGATAACACTTATAAGTAAAACAAAATGATTTTATATCTTAGTTGTACTTCAACTTTTAACCATAAAAAGACGTAATTTAAAGTTAAATCACATTAAATCAAAATTTGATATATTATTGTTCATACAACTAAAATAGTTAACTTTAACAAGAAACAGACCTTTATGATACTCTTACTTAGAGCTTTTTTTTTTTTTTTTTTAACACAATATTTTTTTGATGTGGTCTTGGATAAAGTTTTGACAACTTAGTATAACTATATATTTATATTTTATAATTATTCCTATAGAATTAAATTTACTTTTGTTTTTAACTTTTATAGTAAACCCTTAAATGTTTCTATTTTAATTTAACTAATATTATCCTATTTACAGGAGCGTCCACCTAAATTCACATTTACTTTACTTTATATTTTTTATTTCATTTTATGTTTATAATCAATACATTATTTTCTGTTTGGAAAAGGCGTAAAATCAAACAAACAAACAAACAAATACATTATTTTATACACCACCAACCTATAACCGGTTTAAACGCATATACACACCTCGCGCTATACACCTGGCAATATCTACTCGATTAACCGTTACATGAAAAATTACCACACGACTTATCGTGCGTAAAGTAAAATTTAGCAGACGATATACTAACGTAACACACTAGAAAAAGGAGTATTTTATAGACAGTACTGTATTTTTAAAATATAACCAAACTTTACATAGCTCTATGTAAATTCCCTATGCCGATAAAAAAAACCCAGCAAAACTACAAATTTAATATACGTACAGAAAATACCTGTGAAAGGTAAGTTATTTTCCTTTAAATTATCTATCTGTTTACCAGAATGGAAAGATCATATAACTGTGATCTTCTCCCTTTTCTATCCATTCTGTACAGTCATGTCCAATCTATCATATAGTCTTTGGAGTGGGTGGGGGTGCAATATAAAACTGCCTTTTGCCGTTTTTTTTAAAATCCATGCGCTTTAATGGTTAGCTTTTTTAATATACTGTGTGGTCTTTAGTGAGCTATAGTACGAGTACATATGGCAGCAGGACAGGTAAAAAGTCTAAGCTACTCGCCCTGCAGGGTGTCAGTTGTTCCTAAAAAAATTGTCGAGCCCTGGGTCAAGGTCATTTATGACTAAAGATCAATTTCAGTCTGGCCAAACTGAAAGGTCTTGTTCAAAAGGTTTTTGTGTCATTGTCTGTGACTTCCAAGTACAAAGGCAATCCATTGAGAAATAAAAATAATGACCTTAATGCATTATTTTCAGACAGCAACTTCAATGACAACATAACAGTAAGTTAGTTAAGGTAACTATGGAAAAGCTCCAATTTTTTTACACAAAAAACTTGAGCTTTAAAAAATGTTTCCTTTCTCAGATTCAATCTTGTTTTGTTGCAAAATATCTAAACTTTCTTGAAGTGAATATAAAGAAAAATGGAAAATGTCTTGCTTGACTTGAGCAATCACAAAATACCTTTAGCTCTTTTCTTTCTTTCTAAATCTGGAGTCCAAGTTTCATCACTGTCTGAATCAGAACATGTGATTTTATTCTTAGTAGGTAGAGTGGTAGTATGGCTGACCTGGTTCCTTTTTTTCGATTCCTTGGCTCTATTTGAACAACCTTTCATGAAGTCAGGTTTAATTGCAGGCAAACCTAACAAAAATATATATAAAATTATAAGCCTAAATCAAAACACGAATACGCCCATTATAATGCCACCTATACATGTCAACATGTGTAAACAATAAACCGTGAAAGTTATATCCGGCCAATACTTGATAAGTTGATAACAATAACGGGAACAAATTCTGAAAACAATAGTAATAAAGTATACCCAAAGGCTAATGTAATGCAGCAAATGGCGGATGTCACTCCTTGTCTTTCTTTATAATACCGTAAAATTTGACCCTGAGTTTTAAAACTAACAGATTGTGTTCAAATGATAATTATATTCTAGAGGCTATAATATTTGGATAATACTTTAAGATATTTAGATGTAGCAGAAACATTTTCAAAAACCGTTACACAATTGAAAATATGTGCCGCATTCTGTGGCTCCGTTCTCAAGTTCCTACGGTTAAAATGAATGAGTGAAGTGTTGTGTTAGAGGTAGGAAAACTGCATGATTTTAAAGAATATTTTCTTTCACCCTATGATGGGTCCCTGCTGTAGAAAAAATAATTTAAGCCCTGAAAAGTCTATAACAGTCTTACCCATATAAAGCATAATCTCATAATTCTGTGCAATGTTTTTCAGTCTTGTTTGCTGATGAATTCCAATATCATTCAGCTCATGTTGACTGAAGTACCGAGAAATATCAATATCTTTGTCCAGAAACTGGTTCAGATCCAGATTCTTCATGGCCTCCTATGGAAAGTAAAATACGTGATCATTTAAACATATTCAACAGTGATTCCCACTTGGTTGACCATTCAGTCGCAGGGCCAATAACACTGTGACAGATGACTGGAAAAAATAAGCTCAGTAAATAATGCTCATAATGGTGAGGTCAGAGAAAATTACTGCTCAGACATTATATGACCAAAGAAATTTCATAATGGTAAAGGTCAATACACTGTTGAATAATATAATCTCAAAGAAATTTCATTGGTAAAGGTCCATACACTGTTGAATAATATAATCTCAAAGAAATGTCATTGGTAAAGGTCATTACACTGTTGAATAATGTAATACGGGTTTCGATGCGCGCCCCTTTTTGGAGATATGCTAGAGGACTGATAAATAAAAATCCAAGATTTAAATTTTGAAAAACATAAGTTCTTTATTCTGTGACAGTCAAGATGGAATATATATATTTTACAATACATAATAAATAATTATAAGAATCATTCAGTAATTGTAATATTTAAATTAACAAATACATGATATGGGTAATTTAACAATAACTCGCTTTGCATGTGAGAAGATACCGAGATCTTGGTCGATGATAAAAATCCTTAATCAACCGATACTTATAAAATGAACTTTAAATAGCTTTGAAATGAAACTGATGACTGAGTAAAAGAGTATTATCTGAATATCTAAAACCAACCATATCCTTATAAATTATATGAAAAATATTACTTATGGAACAATTTATTAATGACTAAAATAGAAATATTTTATTTAAAAATTTATATATATAAATATCTTGAGTTAACATTTCTTATAAAGTGAAAACTTAATGTTATACATGTACATTATCTTATGACATATTAATTTACTTCACAATGAGAAATATTCCAAGATCTCAGTTATTTAAGTTATAAAATACAATGTATATTTAATATGCAAAGTATTGAAAAATCTGCAAAATATATAATTAAAATATATTTGAGAGAAACAGCTTAAGATAAAATAAAACATATTTCTTACAGTGAAACATTGAATGAAAAACAGCAGATATAGAAAAATAAGTAACTCAACATACCTGATAAATAAAAATCCAAGATTTAAATTTTGAAAAACATAAGTTCTTTATTCTGTGACAGTCAAGATGGAATATGACTTCACAGAATTTCTGACCAGTATATATACATACAAGAAATTGAACAGATTTAATCATAAAGGAAGATATTGACACATTAAAAAAGGGAAAGGAAATAAAACAATCACATATTCAATAGATATGTGATGGCAGATCTCATAATTATTACCTAAGGGCCTTAAATCCCTTGATCATATAAAATTATTGTCACCTAGAACCATTAACATCACTTTATATTTACCTTTAAGCAGGATATATTAATTTTGCGTTTTAATCTTAAATCTTAGTTATAATTTAAGCTTGACACATTTAACGTGAAATGTAACAATAGTTGAAATAAAAATAATCAAGTACACAATTAAATGAAAATAAGAAAAAAAAATAAGTAAGAAAAAGAAGTTAATATTTATATATAAATTATACATTAAAGTATATGTGCATTAACTGTTTAAGGCTTCCGAAACAAAAAATATACAAGACAAATTTAGATTATAATAACTGCCCAGTCCCCCTTAACTTTGGTCCCAAAAGTTGGAATAGAAATACCTGTACAATTAAATGAGATAATGAAACTGGGAAGAAATATATACAAAGATGTAATACAGTAATATACATGAATATATACAAGACAAATTTACATTATAACAATGAACTATCAATTAGTTCAGAGATAAATCATTTGTTTTCCTATTGCAAGAGTAAGAACTAGATATTGTAGTTTCAAATTGATGCAATGCATAGTCTCGGTAGAAGGGTCCACTTGCCTTAGTAAAGAGATTACTTGTTTTTGATTGTTCAATGAACAAACAAAGCATAACAAAACAATGTTTGTTTTTTTCTTATTTCCGGACTTTGTCCCACATTCCCATGTCATGGCAGTAGAAACCTTCATTAAGACATTGACTCATTCAACATGATTCGTGTGACACAAAATAAGAGGGATCAATATCTTTATAAAAATAAAATTGTAATCTAATATATATAAGAAAAACAAAAACACACTTACACAGACAGATACACACAATATAGATGTAGCTCAGCCGGTTTAGATGGTGGCCAACCATCTTATAGCACTATTAGACAACAAAGTTAATTTGTTAGGCTTGGCTTTGCTACATAAACATACACTAAAAACATGTACAAAACAGGGATATGATTTTTTTTGTTAGGAACAGTGGATTATATAAAAATATACACAAATATACATAAATTTATTCATTTGATCCCAATGTGTTCTGCATCTCATATGTTTTACTGCGGGTTTACATTCCATGCTGTGAAGGCTTCCTATTTGCTTTCCTGATGAGATAGTTTTGAAAGTCGTCAAGATGACATTTATCCATATGTATCCATTCTCTAGATCCTTCAAATTGATAATGTTTCTTACCATTGATGGACCTATCTTTGATGAGTGTCCCTGAAAATAAGTCCTCACCATTGGTTTCTTTATCTCCTAAAGAGAATCCAGCATTAGTATGTGCTGTTTCAGACTGCATAGGTTGATGCAACACTTGTTCCCTAGCAGGTGGAATAATCTTGGAGAGTTTAGGTTTGGGCTTGACATGGAGTTTCAGTCTTGCCGCATTTACCAAACCTTTCAATGGCAATTGAGTCTTTATGTCTATCAATCGATAGGTGAAATTTGGTCCGCATTGTTGGATGAGGTAAGGACCTACATGTTTTGGCATGAGCTTGGGTGAAACTCCTTTCTTTGATTTCATATTTTTCAGAAGAACCCAATCACCTGTTTTAAAGCCTGGTTCCTTTGATTTTGCATCATGCCGTATCTTTGACTTCTCCTGAGATATCTTGAGATTGTCTCCGGAAATTTGCCTAGCTACGCCTAGGTTCCTGTACATTTGATCAAAGAATGATACTCCATCTAATCCCATTTCTGTTTTTTGGATGAGAGAAGTATCGATGGGCAGGTTCATTTCTTTTCCAAAGAGCAAGTAAAAGGGTGAGAATTGTGTTGATTGGGTTGATGGTGACATACGTATTGGCATCATGGCTGCAGTAAAATGGAAGGCCAATTGTTTTGTTCATCATTAATGTATGCCCTAAGGATCTGTTCCAGTGTGGAATTCAGCCGTTCACAGGTTGAATTTGTCTGTGGATGATATGCACTGGTGTGATGTCGTGTTATATCAAACATCTCACACAATGCACTCACCAACTTGGACATAAAGTTACGTCCTCTATCTGAAACAAGAACCCTTGGAGCACCATACCTAGAAATAACTTGATTAAACAAGTGTTCGGCAACTGTACTGGCTTCCATATATTTGATAGGTATTGCTTCACACCATTTACTGAAGCTTTCTACAACAAGAAGAATGTATTGAAAGCCTTCTTCAGATTTTGGTAGAGGACCAAGAATATCTATATGCCATCTATCCAGAATTTGATCAATTGGCATGCTAGTAAGAGGTATACTATGTGGATGCCTGTCAACTTTAATTCGTTGACAAACATCACATTCACGAACATGATTTACCATATCCTGATAATAATTAGGCCAGAAGTATTTATATTTCAAAGCCGCAAAAGAACGTTGCTGTCCTAGATGACACCCTCCTGCAATACAATCATGATAGCTAGCTAGGATGTCTTTTCGAAATTGTTTAGGCACAGCTACTTGGTAAATTGTTCGTTCTGATTTGCCACGTGACTCATAGATATGGTATAATACTCCATCCAGTAGCATGTAATGGTTCGCTTCTCTAACAGTCTTGTCAGCCAATTTGTTGTCCTCGGGATGTTCTCCTTTCTCTAAATATCTATAAATGAATTTAAAATCTTCACATTCTTGTTGGTGATAATTCTTGTTGGTGAATACCCATTTCAGGTTTTTCCCAGAGTGGTTTTGATCGGTTTCCTTCTTCATCATTTTGTTTACTTTCCACTCCATTACTTTCAATATCTGAGTCATCTTTTTGTTTTGATTCCTGATGTTTTCTTGATTTAGAATCTTTTACAGAATTATTTGAATTTGGATTATAATCTACATTAGTTATTTTGTCTATACAACCCTCTTCATTTTTAGATACATGGATTCTTGCTATAGCTGGATTTAAATTATAGTTAAAGAAAATTTCAATTCTTTCTGGTTCTTCTGAAACCTCCTCTGTAAAAGACCCATCCGCCATATTATTTATTTGAGTATCTGGTTCGTCTTGTGTTACCTCTACAGATGAACCTGACAAATGAGTATTATTTACATTTGCCATGGGCACTGTTTGTTGGATTTTCTTTAAGGATTGAGGATCTTTATAAACAGACACACTTGGCTCATCAGAATAGACACGACGAGACAAGGCATCTGCATTCTGATTTGCAGATCCTTTCCTATGGACGATCCCATAGTTATATGCCTGCATCTCCATATACCATCTCCCAAGTCTACTTGAGGTGTCTTTGACTTTGTACAGCCATATTATCGCCTTGTGGTCTGTGTATATCTTAAATTGCCTATGTACCAAATATTGTTTATATGTCCGAATACCTTCCAAAACAGCTAGACATTCTTTATCCGTGACACCCCATTTCCTTTCACCAGTACGTAGAGCCCGACCTCCGTAACACACCACCCTTTCTTTTCCATCAGACCCTTTTTTGACTCAAAATATAGGCCAAAGAAGTATCCGAGGCATCAGTGGTGAGTATGAAGGACTGGTTCATGTCTGGATAATGAATCATCGGAGCTGTAACCAAAGCATGCTTCAATTCTTCAAATGCTTTCTGGTGTTTATCCTCCCATATAAACTTTCGGTCCTTTTGTAATAGCTTATTTAAGGGAACTGTAATTTTTGAGTAATTTAGTCAAATTTTCTGTAGTAATTACAAAGTCCTAGAAATGAGCGAAGTGATCTCTG